AAACTATGTATTTTGGAACATATCGGCTACATGGGATATAAAAATGACACACCAATTTCAAGACATCTATGGGAACATCATTCAGGCTTATCTCAGGATCTACATTTTGCAGGGATTGAACATGTGAAACTCCAACAAAGAGGAGGGGATTTGGATCGCCTACTGAAGAGAAGGGAATGTTATTGGATTTATAGATTACCCTAGCACCCCTTGGCCTGAATGAAGGGTTCACATTTTTGGAATAACATTTGTGATTAAAGTTCTGTTTCAATTTACTTTAGCCTTGTCACATATACATCTAATAAATTCAAATAAGTCCTTTATGAAAGTATGTAAATATTGTATATAATTGTTGAATGGAATTTTCATAGAATTCTGAAATCTTTTATTTATTATTTTATTATTTATTACATTATTATTTAATTTTCCATTATTGAATGCCCCCTTGTACATTCTATGATATATTAGCTTTAAATGCGGGGCAAAAATTAATTCAAGCAGAGTTCTGGAGACGTATCAATAGGGTTATCTGGTAGCTTATAGAATAAAGTTACAGATGAGACACTTGAAATCCTTAGGAATCAAGTACCTTATCCTCCCCCGCAATTTTCTTTTAATTCATAAGAGGATGGACGATGCTCACTCGGTCTGGTTATGTATTGTAACGGACCGTTTCAGCACACAAGGGGTTAAAACCGTTTAGGCGATTGTTCCCTTTCAGAGATGCAGGCACAGCTACTGTAGAACACCCAAACACACGAACCGCATGTAAGGGAATGCTCCAAACTCCCGAACGGCATACCATGTAACACTCCAAACTCACGAACTGGAACCATACGAATCGCTGCTAGCAGACGAATAGGAAAAGCATCCAAGCGGCTTACACTCCTAGCAATCAGTCTCTATCAGCATACAGTAAATCCCCACAAAGACGAGACAAGGCTCCGTGTTGAGGGTCAAGCAGTGGTCTGTTTAAAGAGGGCTACCTGCCCAGTATTTATGCAGGTCTTCCACCTGGTGGACACTCCCCTAGGGGACCAAATGGGAGACTGTGACAAGGGACAGACAAGTAGCCAAATAGGACACACAGTCACATTGTATTCCCACAATGCATCATGGCTTCCTCCCCTCTGCCCTGGAGATAATTGAGAAGTAATTCAATTATCTCCCAGGACAAAGGCAAATCGCCATTATGCACGTGGGGATACTAACACAAGAATTATTATTAAAATACACTATGTAAGACACATTACATTAAAACTATACATTTAACATGTCCCCAGATAGCTCAGGTCTGAGCGCACATTATGAAGCGAATGGCGCTCAGACCACACGAATACAGTTCAATCGCCATGGAGCCAAAGTCTTTACAAAGATAGTTCTCATACGAATGAGCTCCATGGGATTCCTATCTGGGGTATAATACAGTCAGGTAAAGCTACCGAACACCGGGCCATTCGTGCACTTCCGCCGAACAAGAAGGGAGGTCGGTGGCTTCAGCAGTGTTCGCGCCAAACTGTGTCCGTTTTTAGTTCCATGAGTTAGGCGTCAAACACCGCTGTGCATTCGCGTGTTTAAAATGGCCGTGACCTCGTGTTCGTGATACGATTGGCGGCCACCCAGTATTCGTCAATTAAGCTGCGGTTAACCGCAGCTTCTGGGAGGCTAATTGCCGGCACACTCCAGCTCCCAGGTAGTCTAGTCATTCGTGCGGTTGTTCGGTAGATTGAATCTACCGAACACTAGGCAGAAAAGCACGAATAAGTCTTTTCTGCAGGGAAAAAATGTCTTTTAACATGGGGCCATAGTCCAAAGGCAGCAGGTGAGCAACCAGGCTTCTCCAATGCAATGTGGCGAGATTGCTCTAGTCACATGTATATATTTAAGAAACCTAGCAATTGGACTTAGCAATCAAGTTAATGCATATATTGAAGAATATCCTAATGAATCAGATACATTAATTCATGCAGGTTCTATTTATTACACACCTCTGGATTAAGATACATTATAGACAATCGATAAATATAACTTTAAGAATTTGGGATCCTCTTAGGGTTTGATCGGGATGATGAGGCTTCTCTAGCTTTACTATATCTCTAACTATAGGCATAATAGTTACCTGGCAATTCAGATATTGCTATTCAGTTATCTTTAGGGCAATTCTGCCCACATGTCCCTGCCTCTTGACTGCATTCTAATTTTTGAATTGTAATGCAGATACAAAATAGAGGCGATGAGTCTCCATTCTGATGTCGTTATAGATCTTGTGTAACGCGATTATCTCCCAGGCCCAGAGATTCCTGGGAGGAGCTTGTGTTGAATACAATGAAGACCCCCTGCTGGTGTCTGTGCATAAAAGGCAGAGTTTGGCTCATTAAAATCAGTTGTACTCCCAGAACTATGTGTTGTCTAGTTACTGGGAGGGGAAAGAGCTAATCACTGCTTAGCACCTTGTTTGAGTTCGTGGAGGATTCGGCGGGAAAAGGACTAGAGCTCCCAG